TTTTTTTTTTTTTTTTTTTTTTTTTTTGCATTGTAGGTCAACACTAGAAGCAACAGTGATGCTTCTTGTTTTTCTAACACATGCCTATACTTGTGAAGACTCATAAACAGTATTATTTAGTACCAATAAGCACTGTTCAAAACTTGTTGACCGCACAGGAAAGATATTTACAGACAGAGTGAAAGCATAAACAATGCTTTATCATTGTCCAAAMCAAAAGAAAGTCAGCTTTTCACTGGGTGAAAAGTATGTAGGAAATGTGCATCACAAAAGTATCTTGAGATGTTAGAAGCTTTCAGCCAGGTCTTCAGCTACAAAACATGGTCTTAACACCRCTGATGTTGCAGAAGCTGTGGCAGTTCATACCAGACTGTCCTGGCCTTCTGATTTTTATTCTGCATTTTACACATAATTTTGGTCATCAATCTCTATTTATGTCAATGACAAATGCATATTTCACACAGTAGAMGTAGACAAAGAGGTGCATTCATTGTTCTAACTGATAAATTAGTGTCTTTGTTCAAACAACTTGCATTTACATTCACTGTAAGCGAAGGAAAAGCTTCTTAAAAATTTATAAGCTGACTATGCAGGTTAACTTAAATGTGCAGTCGTACAGTGTTGACTCAGAGTTAAATTTAGGAGCACTTTGCAAAACTAGTGGAAAGCAGAGCATTTGTTCAACATCACAGACTTGCAAATGGTTGGGCTAAATATATGGTGAGCATTCAGTCACAGGTCAGGCTCAAACAGAGCGCTCAGAGCGCTTTCCGTGCATCGATTGGTCTAATTTTGGAGATCATTTTGTGTTTTATTCAAAACTAGACAAGGCTGTGAGGAAAACATGGACCTATGGGATACAGAAAAAGACTGATGCATAAAGCAAGCCTGGGTGCTCTGCTTCTCTTCGTGTGTTTTGTGCAGCCACTGCTGGGAACAGTACCCGACTACCCYGGGTCAGGCTGTCTCTGAGCTGCCTCTGAGACACCTCCTACAGCAACACTGGGCATCCCCAGCCCATCTGACAGCAAAAGGATTTTAGTTTATCAATTATTTGCTCAGAGGCCTCTCCCAGTTCTTTGCAATCTGGGACCTGGGCTTTCAAACCCAGACATGTACTGTCTGAGTAAATGTGTAATTCATGTGKGTGAATGCACAGTGTGCTCACATAAATCAGTTGCTCTCATCCACGGGTGACCAGGCAGCTGCCTAACTGGCCATGTTCCCATACAAATACCTTATTTAGAGACAAGAATTAGACATCCATGATATGTGGATGTCATTGTATGCCCTTAAACTGATTAATGGGAAAATGATTTTTCACCCTTTATTTGTTTCACATTCTCCCATCTCCCTRTAGCCTGTCCCAGGACATAAAACACACTCAAACATCCATCCAGTGTTTCAGACTATAAATTCCTCCGGTAGGAGGATTTGCTTTATATGTTTCTCTGGAGCCTGGTGTACTCTCATGTGTTAGGGAAGTATTGAGCCCCTGCCTGTAATTCTCAGCAAGGCCGGTGTCCAATCCAAGTGAATTCACATGCCAGCCCACCAGCTGTCCCCAGAGGTGCCATGTGGTCACCCCGTGACAGCCACTGGTGCTGGGGGTGGACTAAGTACCCTGATCTTCAGAGTGTGTAGAGCTTGTGATTGCACTTGCTGAACTTGTGCCTCCAYGAAGACAATGCTTGAAGACTCTCCCTCGCCCCTTATAAAGGATATTTTTGTCACAGTGCACTGTTGAGGTAGAGGTCCATGTATTCTTATGTTAACTGATTTCAGCTGGGAATAACATTTTGCCAGATCTAACCAATTTTTTTTTAAACATGACCATCTAATACCTGTTCATTTAGTGCACCAAGTAGCTTCAAACTCATTAAAGAATGAAATAAGTCCAGGTTCAAATGTGCCTTCAAAATGAATGATCACTCCTGCTTGGGTGTAGGATGTCTCTGAYATGTTATGAAAATGGCTGCAGAGGCCTTTTTGAATTTGTTATTTAGCCAATGACTTGCTGACATCTGAATCTGCACAATTTGCTATGAATAATTTAAACCATAGGAAGCAGAAAATATAACTGAATTAAAAGACCAAAAAATGCTTGAAAATGCTTTCATGATCCTTTTTCTTGCTTAAAACTTGAAGATCAAACAAGAAAAAATTGCAGTTTAGGATCACTTCACGCTGTACAAGAAACCAGCAGAGTTACAGAGTGGAGCTCGTTGGGTTTATCTACTTTAAATGGCATCTCTTTGGAGTCAGTAGGGAAAAAGCTATAGACAATGAGGAAATATCAAACATTTATTTTGTGTGTTTTGACTTGTCTTCAGAGGATCATTCTGTAAACAATTTATGTCACCMGATAGGCTTTATTCCACCATGGTCTACAAATTACCTGTTGCTCACTTATTAATCCTGCTTTTCTGTTTAGTTTTCAGGTCAGCCCCAGAGGTGCAGAGCTTCAAAGAGTCCAGAGCAATGCTGGAATACAATGCTGGAGTATTTTCTGAAGTTTATAATGTATATCACTGCTCATAGGCTAAATTAGGAGATTTCTGCAGTAACCTTTGTTGCCATGGGAAGGATTGCCAGACTTGGGGTTTAGGTTGCAAGTCAAGAGGCAGTGGGGGGCAAAGGAAGAACAGTGTCTSTCTCCTCTCTGAAGCACCAGGTCCTGGTGGTGGCAGATGGCTGGATGCTGGGATCAAAGAAATTATGTTCTCTTTCACTGTGATAATTGCAACACTCCTTGCTGATTTCCGTGTTTATGATCATGGGTGAATTTGATATATTTCAATAGAAAAAGGTCCAGAAAAGTGTATTTTCTGTACAGTAATCAAGACAACTATAATCCTGGCTAAAATACAYGTGCTCAAGGTTGTAAACAGAGCGAGCCAGTGCAGTGACTGCTGGGCTTGATGTGTCATTGCTCTCAGCAGTGAGATGTTCCTTTGCTGTTGTGGTTGAGTGAGGGGTCTGTGCAGCCCATCCCTTACTGAGGCAAGAGCTGAGTGTCATCCAGGTGGAGAGAGCTTCACTTGTGCCTTAAATAAAGGATCAGCAGCTGGGAACACTCACCACAGACCAGTGCTTTTTGTCAGCTGGCTATTTGCAGTTATCCAGCTTTTTTAAAGCAACTTATAGGTGTTTTACAGGTCAATTTTTATGGCTTGCTTTGATGTAYGATGGGGGAGGCTGCACAGGCTGAATGTTTACTCCCATATTTTCTTGGGACAGTAACTATTTAACAGCTTAACTCTGCAACAATGTGTATTTAATTCCCCCTCCCACCCCAAGGCCATTCTGTCATAAATATCTCTAGATTTTTGAGTACAGAATTTGAAATATGAAGTCACCAGAATCCATATTCCACATGTGGATGTAGGAAGCAGCCTGGAGACATTTCTCGAGCATGCCATGCTCAGATAGAGGTCACACAGGCAAATGGCCATGACCCAGCTAGCAGTGAATTAAACAGCTTCCAAAGAGCACTTACCCTCCAGAAACAGAGGACTGACCTAAGCCATGATTGAAAATGTGTGTAAACAGCATTTATTTCACTTCACCACCGTTATCCCAGGACCAGGAAAGACAATGAGTGTGCATGTACAGCAATAAAATTTCCTATTTGTTGACTTGGTGTTCTGTGACAGCATTTCAGGGTTTTTTTTCGTTCATTCCCCAGGAATTTACTGTTTGTAAAATTCTCCATGTAACTATGATTTCTTCTAGAGGATCATCAGGAAGACCTGTAAGCTGTTTCCTGACAGGAGATTGAGAGAGAAGAGAAAATGAACTGTTAACAAGAATGCTGCCTGCTATCTGAATTGCC